GCTGTGAAGTGATGATGATTAACTTGGGACCCTGGAACTTGTTGCAGCGATAAAAAAGGAATAAAATAGTTAACGGTCTAAGTCTAAGTCTACCAAGTCACTCTTCGTTTCATAAGTAAGGTATTCTATGAATAAAGGAGAGGAGTTACCATAAATTTGTGTCAGAACCGATGCGGTTAACACGCTACACAAAGCTTTTTGGGCATTGATGAGTATAGATAACATCCAGAATTGCTTGCGTATGCGACCGCGCCGCGTCGAAGATCGGTGCGCCGTAGAAGACTCCGCCTTGTCTTATTTTAAAAATCGGCTTGCTATTCTTTCAAAGCGAATCTTGAGTTCATCATTTCATCAGTGAGCTTCTATTCGTACTGATTTAAGGTCAGTGCCCAGCTGCCAGCTGCCCTACTGGATCAATGAGAGCAGGTCCCGGAAATGTAATTGTTACTTCACTTACGTGTGACGGAGATGCACAATGGGTCGATAGTCAGAACAATGTGTATACGTCTGCGCAGTGCGAAGCTCGTAAGTTTTATATTTTAGCTCATCAGAAGCTAAAAGAAAACCTATGTTCAAAAAAAATAAGCCTGTGGTTTGAAGCGTCAAACATCACCCACAAGTTTGAAGAATTAGAGGTATTGAGTTGTTGCAGTTTACTTTCTTGCGGGTTCTCTTTCGAACTGACTGTTAAAAAACAAGTTTTTATAACGCTATGTACGCCATTTGAAAGAAGAATTCTCACCTTACGATATTGCGGTATAATTAAGGTGTAAGAGAGAATACTCTTCCAAAACCTCATTTTTTGGGACCTGGAGGCCTACTCTTTCCTTGCAATTTGTCCCGCAGGGACATTACTGTAAGATTACGGTAGGTCGACGATGAAATGCTTAGAATCACAGATTTGTCCGTTTTTTCTGATGGAATCCCTTCACACACTGGCCACAAACATATTTATACCACACGATAGCCCGTACACCTTAGATAACTGTAGCATACCTTAATCGTCAGGACAGATTGAGTCTAACACTGCTTTCCTTGAAAAATATCTATTTTGAAAGAAATTATGACGATGCGACGCTTGCGAATGATTTTAGCGTAAACTCACATTCTTTTTTTTTGCAGAATTTATGAGCGGTGTTCTATATGTTCATAAATGGTTCCACGATAATATCAACTCACAAAATTCGCTATTTCAGCCTGCACGGAATGTGCTGCAGTAACAAATACTGGAATGGAATGCCCTAAAGGATATCTATGCGAAGCGGCTGTAAAACGCGAAGGTGATTGTTTCAGTGCTATGAAACTGGTTGACTTTTTTGTAACAGTTATTTTGCTTTTTCTAAACAAAGTGCTGGCAATTTGCGCTTATTTAACGCAATATAATTGAAGCTCAATGCTCCGAAACTTATTGTGAGAAAGGAACACTCACTGGCAATCCTGAAAGAACAACACTATCAATATTGACATGTGATGTTAACGCACAGTGGATAGATGGACAATCGACACCATATACAGTTGCTCAGTGCGAAATTCGTAAGTTTCAAATTTTTCGCAATTTATAGGGTTTTTTGGCTTAAAGAATTAGAAATTTCCATTTTTCTAGCATGTGATCGTTGCCCTGCCATTACAAACGACGGGATGACTTGTCTCACAGGCTTCAAATGCACTCCAGTGTTGACAAAAACTAGTGGTAAATACACTGTCCTACAAGCGCTCAACAATGCCCAGCCATCTCCTTTCCTGTCGTAAATTGCCAAATCTTTAGAACAATGTCCCGAAATTTACTGTGATAGTGGACTGATGACAGCTGGAGCCGGAAGAACGACTGTCACGTCATTGTCGTGCAATGGTGATCAGCAATGGATAGATTCACAGTCGACTG